CGGTCCCGGAGACTTTGGACTGAGGTTCATCGGTCCAAGAGGACTTGGAGGGTTTGGGTCATTATGTTCGGGAGCCCTGAGGCCCCTTGAATCTATAAGTTTCCCCCGGATGGGTTCCTTGAGCCGTAGCTGCACTAATTCAAATCCACACTTGATCCAAGTTGGATCTCTCTGACCTGAACGATTTCGACTCATATACCTCTTACACTCAAATGGTCGAAATAGTTCTAGGGTCGTCCCAATTTCAGTCTCCCGTGTTATTATCATTTTATTAATGTGAAAAGTGAAAACGGTATAGTTTCAAACGATTAATTCGTGACCTCTAATTCAACTACGCAATTCATCTAACCTTATGCCCGGCATTATATAACCGAGTAAATTGTATAACTCGTATCCTGTCCAGAAATTACCTGTAACTATTTCTATCTCGCAGGATCTAGTCCAGCATGCATAAGAAACCTTTCCACCGTAATGACATTCTATTTTAACCCTGTTTTCAATTTTTTATAATATCCACAGAAAACAAGTGTCACGCAATGGATGGACAAGCAACGACAACAATAACACGTAGAAAGTAAATAAGATCGGTTGGGGGAGGGGAGCTAGACAAAAAGAGACCAGAAAAAGCAAACGGAGAAAAGCAAGAGAACCGAAGAAACCGGAGACGGAGGAACAAAGTGATCGGAGAAAACGGCAAGTGGAAGGTAAGAGCAAAGTAAACACAAGGAGTGTGCGTAACTGCGGAGAGAAACGGGATGACGAGGAGGTCGACCGAATGCCGTTAGATCGTGTCACGATACGCGACTGTATATATAACCGCAGTTCGTGTGAAGCATCATCTCTCGCCCCTCGTACGAGAAAACGAATGAGCAAACGAAAGGCAGAAAAATAGAGGAAACACTACATACAGACGTGGGGAAGCGAAGGGAGAGAGTATTGACAAAGAGTAGAGTCGTCGCCGATCTGAATCTGTCTACTCATCGCGGTCTTGCATGAGATGAAACGCATCCGAGTGTAATTCTATTGTATCATTTTACCCGTATGCCCCCCTCCCCCTGATCGAGGCAAAAGCGTTTCTCGTCCGCCTTTGATCGCCTCCGCACCCTCCCCCCTTCGAAACAAAACAGGGAAAGGAAAACAAACGATTTCGTTAAAAAAAAGAAAAACCCCTTGTTCCGAGTTTCGTCCGACTTTCTACTGCTCGAGTTGCAGGTTTTTTTCGGGAGCCGCCGTTAATCGGCGTAGCAAGATGCATGGGATTGCAGACTACATGTAAAACGAACGCGATCACTGGGGGATTTCTCGCGTAGCCCGTGTTGCATACTTACGAACGGAACAAGTGGAGCAGGGGAGAAAGTACAGTATATATCGAAAAAGCTTTGGAGTCAGCCTCGTTTCGATCGAATATCCGTACTTCAGAATTGGTTTCTTCGGACGAACAGGTATCACCTGGTATTTAGTACACATCTCCACTTTACGTCACCGATCCGCCCGTAGATGGCGCAACCTACATGCGTCGGATTTAAAAATGGTGAACCGTCGAAACGAGGACGAATAAGAAGCTCGTACAGATTTTTTTTATCTCCTTACATGTATAATCAACGCGTTGAAATAGGGGTTCTTCAACGATTTTCGACAGACTTCTCTCTAAGGTTAACGGCGGCCTTTCTACCGCACGGAATTTCTCCTCTCACCGTTCATCGGCTCAATAGCAAGAGGCAACGCGCCCGCAGTCTTCTTACGTGTGTGTCGCTTGTGAGGTAACGCGATGCCATCTCGCGCGCGCGATATCTCGAGAATTCTTTTTTTCTTCCTTCGTCGGACGGATTGACTCGTCGTTACAACCGGTTCGACGCGCGGATTTTTCTTCCCTGCTGACGCAATTCTTTTGACATACACACACACACACACATGCGCGCAAACTGGCCTGTTCGCTCCAGGGCATCGGGACAAAGATGCATCGTGGTCCACCGTGGCCGACGAAACTAGGCCACGTAAACGTGCCCCCCCCCCTCGTACCGCCATCTCGAGGAACCCGCCTCTGTTCGCCTGTCCGTGTCCACTAGGCACGAGTAACCGCGAGGACTTCGAAGGTAATGAAGTTGCGGGCACCGCGGCTGATACACCCCCCTCCGAATTTGTGTTGCGCACAGATTTCTACAATGTTATGCCCGGATCAGGGACGGTTGCAAACGACCGTGCCCGATTCTCTCGGTCGAGTTCGCGGCAGCACGTACGCACCGCTTGCAAGAACGTGCGGTCAGGACACTATAGATTTTCGTATCTTCCAGTCACTGTTCGGTGGCTGGGACGTTTTTCCATTTGCTGTATATTAATACTTTCTATCATATGGTTATTATCGTAATTCCTTTTTTGGTATCTATCAAGCTAGGAAACTATTTATTACAAATTCCGTCTGAGCAACAGATTACTGAAATTCTCCTCTTTCAAACGGAACCCCAAATCCTTTACGTATTATTTGTGTTTTTGATTGTACTTTATAATATTGGCACAGGCGATGCGTAGGTATATTTTGACACAAGTTTTCGAAAGTTTTCACTGTATACCGGCTAATTTATGCTGGCAGTTTCTTTTATACTGGGTGTCTCATTCGTGTGTGACACCCCGAGTACCTTTTTTAATTGTGGAAATGCGATAAATGTTTTATACGTAATTTGAATGGTATTAATTAAGTGATCAGTATCCTGCAGGCGTTGTTTTTTTAATCTTAGTTTTCAAGGTTACCCATGTTTTTTTTTAAATAACTACATTTTATACTTTTGTATGTATTATTCCATGAGCTGCGCAGCGCAGTGCAATAGCAATATGTAGTAACTCGAAAAAAAAACACATCGATGGCATTGACAACTTCGAGAAAAAAACAATGCCTGAAGGATAGTTCTAAATAGGTAAATGGGAAAAAAAAAGTTTAAATTCTGTCTAAATATGTAAACCCAGACACCGTTTCGACTATATATTTTTCATTTTCGTACTATATTCGTACATACAAGTATAACCTAAAAAAGAATATTTAATATGTACTAATACTTGAGGTTATGTCAAATTTAAAACCATTTTACAAGTAAGCTAAATACGAGGATAAACAACAATAAAATTACGTTTAAAATTTCGATTTCTGATAACGAATGAAACGAGTAGGTAGAAGCGACCAATGTCCCTGGCCCGTCTCGCAGTTTCTCTCTTATTGCTGCCGGATGAGATCGATTTGTCGGTGGACAACCATCTTGCCAGGATGAAAATAAAAGAGAGTGAGGGGGGGGGGGTAGAGAGAGATGAGAGAAAGGTAGGAAGAGGTATGTGCGGCAAGAAACGTATTATTTTCCTTACGGTTCATCCAGAAGTAATTGGATTATGGAAGATTTTGTTCTCTCACGAGACGCTTCTACGCCGTGCGAAATACGCCACGGTATTATTAACGCGGATAGGCTTTTCATCGGTACGAAGAAATTCAATTAAAGCCATCAAACACGTGGATCGACGGCAATTTCGATCGAATTGCCCGAGAGAGAGTCAAACGGCCCACAGCCGGTTTCCATCGTGCCTGGAAACATGCTGGACGCTTGAATCTGCGTTACGATGCAACAATGACCTCATGAATAATTTAACGAGCGCCATTGTCTCATCGGTATGTACTAATAACATCACGTCAGTTGTAGCGTATCTGACACTGATTCACTTCATGCATGGCACTTCTTTATTTTCTATTCGGTCATCCGTGCGAGCCCGTTCCCGTATGTTTTTTCACGAAACTCCCTGAACCCGGATGCGTGCAGATTTTTATCGATCTTGCAATATCCACGGAGCACAATATTCACCCGTTTGCATTCATTAACGACGTGTACTGATTTCGCTAGTTCGATAAAAATTGTTGTTGCGATTGCCAACAGCTTATTACACGATCGATACATCCCGAATTCACGACAGAGTATCATTTTTCTTAAATACGATTTTAAATGTACCTGTTCGCCAATTTAGTAAGGGGGGAAACGTTCAAAAAAAGTTGAACCTAGATTTGTCCAATTAGTAATTCAACGAAGTTCCGTTCCGTTCCGAGAAATTAGCACCGGATTGAGCTTGAACAATCTGCGATTATAGATCTTAATATGTTTCGCGAAAGAATGTTCCCTCGTCTCAGCACAACCCGTGACTTATGGAACAAGTAACCGTTACGGAAATATCGTTAACTGATACAGGAGGATGCCGATGAAAGAAGAATGGTAAAGAGGTTAAAAAATATATATGTATGTATATATATTGCCTGCATTGCTTTGGCATCGTTTGCGTCCCGTTCCGCTTCTCTCCCACGCCGCAGAGGTCCCCCTCGTTTCTCGATTCAAACTTGAACCGACTGACCTTCGGCATCCACGGCCAAAGAACCGATTCCCGATGCTTTCCGTTGATTCTCTGGCACAACACTTTTATTGTCACCATACAACACACAACAATATCGACAATTTCCGCAAGTAATCGCGACGGGACGCAAGTATCTCCGCGTTCTAGAGCGTCTCTTGAACTGAATTTCTGGCTGAGGCCCTGACTCTTTATGCCCACCTGGCTCCAGCAGGTGCTGCAGGTGGCACCACCTCTCGGTCGTCCGGTGGTCCTTTTCCTCCACAACGGTCCCGTCCATACACGACGAACCGGGACCTTTTAATCCATCGACAGACAATTTAAAAGGACGTCTAATATGTTTGTAAGCACTTCTGTTGCCGTTTTAATCGTTAATCGGATTACATTTTGCCTAAGTGTAATTGAGACTCGTAATAAGAAGATCGTATTCATCTTATGAAAATATGATTTTTTAAAAATTATACAATATTATTATTCATTATATTACTTTTTGTTTTCTGCAATTTTTACACAGGGCAGGGAGTGTTTAAATATTATTTTGTTCAATGTACGATAGACTACGCGAGTGAAAAAGAGTGTAAAATATAAAATTTGTAAGAAGTTTATTTAGAAATTATATACATAAACGTTTAATAATTCGTTAAAAATCGTTTTTCCGCTTCACTAGACTTAACGAGTATTAAAAACGCCGGAGTTCCTCCACGTACGATAAATCTGAAAATTTTTGTTTCAATTCGTAATTAAAACATTTTTCGAAGTAAAATATGGAATTACATTCCACGTTTTGATTCTTATACCTACCGTTTGTTCTGTAATATTTTTCCTAAGGACTCATGAATATTCACTTTGTGCACAGAACATTTATCTTTACTCTCAAAATAAACATTTATATTCTGAGGGTTATAACGTTTCCCTGTATCCCACTCAGGTGGTTCACTAAAGAGTTGTTCTAATTGTTCTATTAACCTAAGTAAGAAAATTCATTAAATGTATGTGCTTTTCCAAATACATTAATATTTGAAAAATACTTGTACTAATAAAAACATACAGTGTATCCTCGTGAAAATTTTGTATGAAATCTGTCTGATGTGTCTCTGGATATAAAATCATGACTGGCCAAACAAGTTTGTTTTCTGCATCCAAATGAACTCTACTCTGAGCAATTTGTGGCACTTGAGGTTCTAAATCTTTTAAATCTGGATATTTTCTGCCATGAATCAATTCTAAATTAATACCCTTACACTTAATTATGTTTATCAATTCTTCTTCTTTTTTATCTAATTGCTTTTCTAATCTCTCTTGTTTTCTTTTGTCCCTTTTTAAGCGTTCCTATAAATATTGAATATAATGTCTCAGAAACTTTGTGTATAACAAAGATATTTGTAGGTTTTATGGACAACTATATCCTTACTCTTTCAGTTACTGCCTGTGACTTCAAACTTAAAATTGTCTTGTCAGTTGAAGAATAATCAAGAAATTTGTCACAGAGGTCAATGCACTGATCATAGTCTTTAATATGGAAACAACACGTAGCTGCCCTATTTAAAGCCTTTGGGTAATTTGGTTTTAATGTTAAAGCATGTTTCGAGTCATTTAAGCTTGAACTATAATTTACATTAAATTATAATATAGTTAAGAAAGTGATATAACTATATGATACATTTAATTATTATATGTATATGTACCGATAGTTTTTTAACATGAAATGCGAAGCAGCTCTGTTGTTATAAAGTTGAGCCATTAAATCATTATCTTTACATTTAGTTCTTATACCTTCCGTGTAACTTAAAATAGCTAATCTGTATTTCTTATACTTGTAATTAAAATTTCCATCCTCTTTATAATTGTTTGCTAATTCTATAAGAGAAATATAGCTTTTAACGCATGATATCTTTAATGCATTTCAATACAACGAATGAGTAAGTAATAATAAAGTAATTCAAACCCTCTGGAGTGTTTTCATCCTCTCCATATTTAAGTTGTTGCAACCCCTCCATCAGAGGGGAAAGTTTTTCGCCAGATTCTGGTGATTTCTTCATGAAGAAAGGATGCTTTTCCATTTCTTCTTCCCACCGATCTTCTGGCCATCCTTCTGTATAACTTTTCTTCTCTAAACTGTCAATATATTCATCCAATTCTGCATCCAATCTCGAAGCTAGTGCTAAACGCTCCTCATCAGTCCAAGTTTTATGTTTTCTTTCACTTTTTTCTCCCATGATCAAATGATTTTCGAAACTTAATAATAATTAAAAGCAAACTGGATTTCTATCACCAATGAAAAATCACTGATAAAACTATACAATAAACGAAGATACAGTATTAAAAATAACTGGGCTTTTAAATCATAACCTTCAAAATTTCACGTAAAACAAAACGCGTTGTAACATTTTCTTTTACCAACAGAGTACATTTCTGTTATCGTCCCAACGATGGCGTTATGTGTACACTCGTAAAGAATTTCTGATGGTTATTACGTTTTTGAAATAAATTTTCTACTAGTTTTCTTGTATTAAAAGTATTCCTAAACCTTAAAACATATACGCTATTAATTGAAGAAAAGTATAATAATGACACTAAATGAATTGTAAGTAAATATATCTACAAATTCATTCAAAACAATAGTTTAAAATGGCATATAAATGTAGAAGAAACACATATTTATTAATTATATTCCAAAATAAAGGTACTATTTTTCCAAGATAAATCATTTCAAAAATACATCTTTTGAACGTCTTTTCACTATATTAAAAAAATTGTTTGAATCCTTCGTTCTTTTCTACTTGAAAACGTAAGATAATGTTCGAGTACTATAGAATTTACTGCTAAAGAATACAATTCTTAGTTTCGAATTAGTTCTATGGGGTGAGAAAAAATGGGGTGCGGGGGTAATCCCGCAATAAAATCCGTATTGAAAGTGAGGGATGAGAAAAGCCAGCGGTGGATATGTCGATCGGGTAGGGGTGGCTAAGGTTCGGACGTTTACGCAAACATTCGGGTTTTGGCCCCTTTGTGCGTCGGCTAGGCAAGATGGCGCTCGGTGAAAGCTGGTCCACGATTGGTCGATGAGACCGCACCGCGAATCTCCCGAGAACAGTCGCTTCCACGGCCTCGTAGCGGGCGAGTTGCTTGTCCCTTTGGAAAAAAGGAAAACACGTTCTCTCGTCGCGGCGGACGAGTGTAATGGCCACCGTGGGCCTGGGATAGCGGTGGAGGCGGTTTCGGGTTCTACCGATCGTGACGTTTGCGAATCTACGGGACGATTTATCGGCCGGCCGAGATCATAAGTGAAATTTGATTCGCGCGTGTTGAACTGCCGCCTGGATCGTCGGGAATCCGGTAGGTTTCTAACATCCCTCTCGCAGTGAGGAAGAGTGCGTGTACATAATCGAAGAAAACCAGTGCATCAGTGTCCCTTAAATGTGTGCCAGAGCCATAGTCGAGCGTGTATCATAGTGTGCCGGTTGTCGAATCGACCACCCTGGGATATTATCGGCAGTTTGTCTCATCTTTTGGATTCTACTGATAAACGAAACCCTGGCATCGGTGAGTACATAAAGCATCAATCTATCCCTATCGCGTACGGTGACCAAGGATCTTACGTACAGCTGGGCTTTAACGTCCATAGTGCGTGTGTGTGTGTACATTCTGGTCCTTGCTTGCTCTCTAACCGATTATCTATCGATGTTTTCGTTCCACGACTAGTCGTACCCTTGACATTTTTCTCCACCGTACCGAAAACAATCCTCGCGAGCGTTGTCATCGTTCACCGACACGCGGTTATTCATTGAGAGAGAGAGAAAAAAAAAGATTTCTACGGCCTTGCGCGGAGGGTGTTAGCGAATGTCCTTTTTACGGCGCCTTTTCGCACATGTTACCGCCTTCCCATGAGGGAAAAGTCCATTTATTGTCATATGCAGGTAGTAATGAGAGTATGCGCGTTGCGAAGCACGATCAATTTCGGAAGATCTACCACCACGCTGCAAAAGATGTCGCACCACCCTTTCCAATGCTGGTTTATTGTTGCTAAATGGCTCTCGAGCGTTGCTCTACTCTGGGCTCGAGCGTGTGTATCTCTCTCTCTCTTTGCCCCCTGTTTGTTTTTTTTTTCGCCGGCGGTGTGCATTTCGAGCGTCACGCGGCGTTAGCGAACGTATGATAAATTGCAGTTCCTATGGAGACCGAGGCAGCGTTCGTTGAACGCCTTCCGTCGTCTTCTTATACGCGTATTATTTTCGTTTCCCTATTATCTTCGAGTCTTCAGTGAGCTTTCGAAGGCCGTCGTCGAGTGTTGCCTTGTCAGCTTACCATTCCGTTTGAATCGACGTCTTCTATCTCTCGTTTTGCAATAAACAACACATTCCCCTATTCTCCGCGATTAACTTGGATGGGCGTGTATTCTTCGTAAAAGAGCGGTGCCGGATGAATTATGAAAAAATAAACGTGTTCCCTGTCACGAGAGACCTCACTTCGGGCTTAATGGCGGATGTTAATATACATGGTTAAAATTGCGTCATTGAAGAGTAACAGGTGCCAGTATTAGCAAATTTTTCATTTAAAAACAAGCATTTGTCTTTTGTTTACTCACGCTGTTCCGTGGTGTTTCGTACAGTTTCTCTGTATGTAATACGAACATTTACACGAACGTCCGTATACGGTATTGTTTCATCCCATTTACTGCACTACTCTTTGATCATGTACTGTCAGTTTTCAAAATTATGAGCAATCGAATAACCACGAACGACCCGTATGTATGTGTGCCGTTCGTCGGTTAATCGCGGTACGAACATCTGTTGTTTAATAGCCCGCAACAATGCTTCTTGTCCACTGGTGAAATGTTTATTACTCAAAACACCGTTTCCCCGACCCGCGAAAATATAACGGGATAATCATTGGTCTCGCCGCGATCTGATTCCGTGCGCGGATATTTTGCTGTAATTGTGTTCAACACTCGTAACGAGGGGAAGGGGGGGGGGCTGAAAGTAGAGCGTTTGCACGTGTTGCCGACAAAACACGGGTATGTAGGTATCTTCGCGGTTCCGCGATTAGCGAGTTTCGATCGTGTCCCGATGTTCATCCCGGCTTTACTGCGCCAACATTAACATATGAACACGGGATTTGATTTTAATTGAACGGAAAATTCCGATTCTCCTGTTCCGTGATTTAAAATAACTGGATTTTGTAATTCTGTGTTTCTATATATTTTATTTTTTGGCCAAATATCGATACCCAGGGAATACTGTACAGTAGGGTAGTACAGTGGGGGTTAGTGCATATGCTCTTCTTTCATCCGATTAAAATAATAAAGTTTGTAATTCGATTATCCGGCAATTAACCAGGCGCATGCAACAATTGTTAACTGAAATTCTGCTTGCGTGCCGTGAACTCTCGAGAACCCTACCCCACTCTCTAGACTTTCCGAAACCGAGGATAATTCCCACTTTGTACGGTGGCCTCTGTCAGTTCACACTACTCAGCTTACGGTGGGAGAATCTTTTTTTTTTTTGTCCGTCTGTAATCCCGGCAGCCAGACCTCGAACTGAAAAGGTAGCGCGCGCTAGTCGAATTACAAGAGTGTTCCCAGCAAATGGGCTCGGTCGAAATCGCGTTTAGAACGGAAACTGCTGAATGTAAACCGTCGGATCCCGTTAAAATACTGGTCGATGGGGTCCAAGGTTAGCTACCGAAAAAACAGAAGTCTCTTTCCGTTCGATTTCAGTACAATTATACAGAGATTATTTTCTAGAAATTATTTGTCTTCTTATAAAAATATCGTGAAGGATTCGTTAAATGTTCAATCCTACAAAAATTTGTCCTTATGGCAAGTGTTATATTTATTCGAAACTTTAAATATTAATACCAGCGGAACAGTATTTCACGTAGACTCAGAGAAAACTAATAATATACATGTTTACTAAATTCAGTCTAAAATCGTTATCACGTGTCTGACTTGATGTTGTAAGGCAAGAGGTTAATATACATGAGTCACTGTAATAAAAGACCAAAATCAGAAAGGTTTCGATACCCATTACTGCTAAGACATTTGCGTAATTTCTTCTGAAAATCCGATTAATTCCGCGGGAACATCGAATTATCGATCGACGTGAAAAATATCGTCCCGTAGCGAAATGGTTATATACCCGTCGTACGTTTTTTTTTCCTCTGGCGGCTTGAGCGGAGCGAAGGACGGGAATAAATATCGGCCGAAAAGCGGCTAATGAAAAGAGCAGCGGTTATCGATCGGTGTATACGAAGCACTACTTCGGTCAGGGTGACGGAACGAGCCCGGAGATGACGGTCTCCCGACTAGTATATTTGACGATCCTCTCGTAAAATTCTTCTGACGTTGATTGCATGTCCCTTTCGTAGCCGTGAATCGTTTCGAGGACCGACGTGGGCTCTTTCAAAAACTCCTGTCGCGTGCTTTCGACGAGCTTTATTAAGCCGGGCGTGAATTATGCACAGCTCTGTGAATTAAAAATCCATCATTGCCTGATCGATGACTGTGTTCATCGATGGGTCAACGATGACCTGGCCATAGGATAGATATACCCGTTAACCTACGAACGACTCGTCCCAGAGTCTGAATTTTTATTTCACTGTCATCACCTAGTGGCGAATTTTGGAAGCACCCAGCGTTTTGGCACGCTGCAATTGGGCAGTAAAACACACAGTTTCCGTAAGTGTTACGATAAAATAATGTTCAGTTGGTTATGAAAAGTGTCGCGAAGTAAAGGCGAATTTACACCATCTGGATGTGCAACGCGGACGATTCATCCACAGTTTGAAAAATGTCTTCATTTGCATTCCATTGAAAGTGACACCAATGAACAAACTGGAGCCAGTCTCTACTGTCGATGAATCGAATGGTTTATGGATGAATCATCCGCGATACGACATCCAAACTGTGAAACTGTAAATTCGCCTTAATTGTTATAGGATTATTCATCTCTGGGATGAGTCGTTAAAGGTTAGGTTATGAATCACGTAGTGAACACAGAGTCATCGGACTATTTTGTGGAATTAAGACGCTGGTGACGACCATAGTAATCGATACGTTCAAAATGTCGTTCGATCAGCATCTTGCGATACTTATCGGTCGAATGGAATATTTTGCTCTGTCCAATAGTAATTGTTCGACGCTCTGTGCGGTTTGAATAGGGGGAAACGTTCGTCACGCGGGAAAGTTTATTTTACAGTCGATAAAGACGCTCTGCAA